GAGTATGAGCTGTAACTTTGGCTCCTTGGGGCAAGTGGAAGCACTTTCATCTAAATGAGTTCATTGAATTTTACTTTGAGAGGCATTGAGTTAAATGACCAGGCAAAACAGCTTCCTGGGTACATGTGCACTTTGTGTCTGGAAGACCTCACGATAAAAGGTTAGGTGCATCTGTTAGCAGGACATATTTGAAGAAACAAAAGCAAGGGCCTTCATAGTGTGAATGACTATTGTATCACTTCTGTTCAACAATTTACATGATTTCCATGTGGCTCCCTCACAGTGTGTTGTAGGTACATCACATTTTTGAACTTTTTTCATTGGAAATATTGCATTTTTAGCCATGCTCTTGGCAGAGCTCTAGTGATAGGAATGAACACTTACCATGCACTGGGCGACTATGGGTGAGGTGGGGTTGACTGTCAATCGAAATGTTGTGGGTTCGATCCCAGCCCCTGCAGTCAACATTTTGATGTTTCCTGGGGCAACATACATAACTCAGAGTTGCTCCCAGATGGCATTGCCAATAGTGAATGTTTGTTAATGTTAGCATCCTTGAGCAAGCGGAACATTGCTCTCTGCATGGGGTGTGAATGGGTGAATGATTACTTGTTAATATAAAGTGCTCTGAGGGCACTTAAAGACTTGATATAGCACTATATAAAAACAGTCCATTTAATCTCAACAACTATATTACATTACATGTCACTTCTTAGACGCTTTTATCCAAAGCAACTTACATTCTCAATACTGTGGGCAATCCCCACAGGAGCAATTTTAGGGTGAAGTGTCTTGCCCAGGGACACAACGACATGCTGACTGCAGTGGGGTTTGAACCTGTGCTCCCTTAATCCAAACACCAACGCTCTTACCACTGCGCCACATGCCTCCAACTATTGGTTGATTTCTTAGGATTTTTTTACAGACACAGATGGTCACTAGAGGATTAAACATACTGACTTTGGTGATCCTGACTTGTACTGCAGTGCCACTAGATCAAACTAGAAGTTTTAACTTTTCATATGAATGCAAAGATTTGATCCCTTTTTCCTTGAAGCATTTGTAATTCTCGGTGAAGACTGCAGTTTGGATGGCCATGCAATGTGCAACATTAACATTGTTATCCCACTGAGTTGTTATTGTGAATCGTAATCATTTTGGTCATCTTTCAACTTTTCCACTCGGGCCTTCATAACATTTAAATTCTGACATTATTAAGTGAATGATCAAAAATGGAAAACTAATGACTAGTGGATAGAAAGATATTAATACTCAGTCTTGTATACCGCAACAAGCATTTCCTGTCAGTGATCACAGTTCAGTCTCCATTTACAAGTTGCTGAGTTAGTTTTATCTCTGCTTTTGCTCCTCTGGTGATTAACTTGACACTCATGGGGCTTCTCCAAAACATTCCAGTCATTAGTGTCTTCGATCAAAAATAAAATGATAAAATGGGGTACTCTCAGCTATCGTTAGTCCCCGATGAATTTCGTGTTCAAATTCCAGCTGCCGTAAATGCAACATGATGAAAATAAACTATTAGAGGTTAACCATTTAAATGTCTTTGGGCAATCTTGTTCTGAATCCAAACAACAAAGAAGGATATTGGCATGTTTTATTCCAGTAAACTGAACTGCTTTGAATTGATATTCAAAAACAATGAGTTACTTTCTTTGATTTGCAAAGCTTTTTCCTCAAAACACAATGCCCTGAGACTACAATGTGTACTGTTGCCAAATGTCAGACAAACAAAACACATTCAGGTTTTTAATTCATAGCAAGCTCTCTCTGTTAAACCAAGTGTGGCACTGTAAGTCAAGCAGTACACGCAAGTATCTGTGAAGGTCATTTCACAGGGAAAGTTTCCAATGAATACCTTGAAGTTTTTTGAAGTAGAATAACTTTGTATGTAGTCAAAGCACTTCCAAATGTAACATCAGTCCAAAGAGCTTTTCCCTGGGCAAATCTTGTACAAATAATAATAGAGAGAATGTGTGTAGGGGTCTAGGATTGAACATCCATATTCTTTGGTTCCTCAAGTTTAGCTAGAGTTCAGCTTTCTATGCAGCCAATGCCTTTCTTGTCATAATGTATGTGCCAAGTTTGTACATAAAAAGGGAAAATCACATTTACTTGAGATAGGCACGTAGACAATATTGCCTATGGTACACAATGCTTTATGTTAAAATTCAGCTCATTTCCTGCTGCTAGCATTGTTATCATCTTAAAGCTGTCAAATATGTCATGCAGTCAATCAAATATGCACATTTCCAGATATATTATAATCAATGAAGCATTAGGGATTCATACAAGCACAGCACTTACGGTTGAGGTCAGTTGTCAGAAGGAAGGAGAAGAACATGAAAAGGCAACAAAAGGCTGACAGTCTTTTGTTCGTACTGCTTTCATTTTAATGAAATTTTTGCTCCCACTTTGTATCTCTCTCATTACAGAAGACATTCTCCATTTAAGCAATGGGGCAATTTCTTGTACCACCTTGTACTTTATTCATTCCGATGTATATCGCTGTCATGATGGGCTATTAGGGAAAACATCTGTCAGCTGTATAGCAGGAACACATTTATGTCACAGGTGACAATCATAGTTTAGTGGGAATGCTGATACAGCATTCCAACTACTTGTTCTTCGACGCACGAAATTCTTTATTATTCCGCCGGGTTATTTTGCGCCACTTCTGCTCCCACATTCCACATCGCAGAAACTCCGTTCAAACATCAAAACGTTCAGCTCAGGGGTGAATCGATGGCTATTACTTTTCTCATTCATAACTTTCATAATTCGAGAGATATATCCCATAATCCATCACATTTTTTAACATGAAAGTCAATGGAGAAACTCTTCAGATTTGAATAATCTTCATGCGACTTCAACTGCTAACTGTTCCTTCATACTTTCACTCAGAAACCTCATTCCAACTTAAAAATGTTACAGATCTTTCTGACATTATTCGTGTAACACAACTTTTGAATCTGATTCATACTTTCAGAGATATTAAACATTGTTCAGACCTTGGTAAAGAGGCCTTCTTCAGATTTTAGAGTGCGTGATGTCACAGCTAGTGGAGGACAGATTTAATTTTGCCTTCACATTTTCTTTTAAACCTGCCATAATTCCCAAACCCTACATTCCTGAGACATCATTTTTCATGACAAACGTAGGAAAACAATAATTAAACAAAATGCCTCTTGAGGGCATGAAGTGACAAAAACTTTCAACATGTCTCCATTAAACCCCATTGTAAATTCAGCCTCATCTTTCCCCACCACAGCAGCCGCACACCTTTTAGTTAATCTACCAAAAAGGCCACATTATTGACCCGAAAGTACACAAAAAGTACACTTCAGATGCTCAAGTTCCTTGACATGCTTCACGCTTTGAAATTTCACCGATATCTGTTACGGTTTTTCAACAAAACGTTCACATGTAAGAGGTTCATCTCTCATTCAGAACAATGAAAATGCTCTCCTCCCACTGATTACTGCACATCACCATGGAAACCTATGATCTCTGGACAGGTCGTTAGCTCAAATATAAACACCTGTGTCATGGAAAACGATGATGTCATAACTCCAACTGACATGTTCAGAGCAGCAGACTTCAGATAATGGTTAACACAGCTCTACATCAAATCTGATGTTACGTAATGTGGTGTTACTATGGCAACGCACCCCTCGCCATAAAACAGCAGCAGACTTCAGAAAATGGTTAATGTTCCTGCTCTAAACAGCTCTACGTCAATTATGGGCTGTCTTCATATGCCGTTTCCATGGAAACCCATCCCTCACAATAAAACACAATGTCGCTGTAACTCCAATGGACACGGTCCGATCGTCCCCCAAACTTCGCTTGTATATCACCGGTCCATGCCTCATCAGCTTTATGCCAAATCTGAGATCTCACCATAGGCTGTTGCGATGGAAACGCATCCCTCGCCATAAAAGACGATGTCGCTATAACTCCTATGAAAATGTTCAAAAAGTGCTCAAACTTCACATGTGTGCTAACAGTCCAGCCGTGAAGACATCTACGGGACCGTTTTGAGATTTCTTCAATTGCCATTGCCATGGCAACACAATGCTCACCATGAAACACGGTTTTCTCATAACATCAAATGCCGTTGGCATGGCGACAGATCATTCGCCATCAAGTTAGTTCAAAAGTTTGCAGTTCAAATATTCTGCTGCTTTTCCAAGCCTTTTTACTTTCTTTTCTTCTCTCATCACACATTCAAGCCCCCTGTGTTCATGTATCATTTCAATCTAAATTCTTCACTTTCTTCTTTCCCATTACATTTTAGCATAGCAGTTTAGCGTCAGCTTTTCAGCATAAAGCATTCCCGCTAGCAAGTTCTTCAGGAATTACATTCTCTAGTTTCAAATGATGCCAGGTTATTTTTATTGTTTTTTTCTGGCTTTCTCTATTTTGTCGTAGTCCTTTTCCTTTCTCTGTCAATTTGCCTTTGCTTTAGTTCAGGCTGTGTCAGCGTGGTCGAGGGATTCCTTACATCAAAAAAGCACAGAGTGACATAGTTAATTACATTTGCGTCTCTCTCACACACACTCTTTCCATGTCCTTTTTTCTCTGTCTCTCTCTTCCAGCCATTTATTGTACTTACAAATGCAGCTTCAGCTAAAAAATAGACCTATATGATGTCCTTATATAGATAATAAGAAGTTTAATTTGACATGCAGACTCACCTCCACTGTCTTAACCCTGCCACAAGGAATATTCTTAATAAGACAATTTTGTATTATTAAACTACACTAAAAAAATCCTCAAAATGTTAAGCTTAAGATTATGTTAAATTAATTGCTTTTTTAGACAAATAAAGTTCACATTGAAGAAGTTGGCACTAGTAATTGTGAGGCTGTGTTGGTGTATACATTACTTGTTGTTTTGTTACTTTTAGACTTAATAATGTACATATTATTGCAGTTCTCAAAACCAAACTCTATATTGAACATGTTGTTTTTTTCCAGGGAGTTTGGGAGATGGAAGGTGAACAATTTGGCAGTGGAGAGGAGAGATTTCTTGGAGTCTTCGTTACCTCTGACTCCTGAATTTATCCGGAACATTCGACTTTTAGGCCGCAGGCCCACCACCCAGATGATCACTGACAACCTGATCAGGAAGTATGGGACTCACTTCCTGTTGTCAGCTACACTGGGAGGTAAACAAAGCATCTGTTGTTCTGAGTATAGATTTGTTACAATGTTACAGTAGATATTCTCATGGTAACTTATCGAACCCTTGGAATAAACTGACTCCACCAGCAATGTGTTTTTTCACTGTTCCATCCACCGCTTACTTTTTAATTTCAAGCCTTGCATTCTAGCTCACATGAATGCTCACAATTACCAATAACAGGCAGTCAAAAACCATACTAATCCTTGGAACAATAGGCATTTGATTTGAGGCAGAATAAGACTGAAGCAGCCCTATCATTATAAGTGTCATTATCATCATTAATGAGCAACTACCATTCTTGATGCAATAGTTACCGTCGTTGGCAGATTTTATCATCTGTAGCCAGCTAGATAAATAAGAATAATTGTTGGAAACTGTCTTTGGTTGATTTAGAAATGTTTCAACTGATTTGATTGAATATGAGAACCCTGTAAAAAGGATGTAATGATGATAATCATGCTTAGTCAATACAGACGCTATGCAAATAAAGGTTGAGCTGAAGTTTATAGGACCCAGGTAAAATCAGAAAGTATTCCAGAATGAGGGGAAATGTGTAATTTTCAGAATGACCTGAGATTCCATTTTATGTTTATAGAAGCTTTTAGAGTATGCTAACCAAGGCGTCACATATACATAGCCTTGACATGTCCAAACTCAGTCACAGTAACTAGCTGAATAACTCATCATAGCAACATAACGTGGCACTGGCAGCACAGATATTGCTCTTCAGGGAGGTTCGAATACATGTTCAACCCTTTGTACAGTAAACCAGCCACTCGCATTGTTGTTCCTCTATCTATGTGAAGAAAAAAAGAACAGACAAAAAAGATTCAAGATGCAAGAGAGGTCGAGGCGAGCCTTGCAGATCTGATTTGCTTTTACAGAGCAACACTTGTCAATTATTTTGTACTGAGTCCTGGTTTGGAAAAAGTCGCAGTTGTGAGTGGCTGTATATAATGAAGAACAGAACCAGCTTCCTGAGCCACACACACACACACACACACACACACACACACACACACACACACACACACACACACACACACACACACACACACACACACACACACACACACACACACACACACACACACACACACACACACACACACACACACACACTCACACACAGGCTCCCAGCCAGCACTTAGTGGTATGAAGAGAGGAGAATGAGGAGTTTGCCTTGGATTGTTGCCAGAGATATGCCTCTGTGGTTCTCAATGGATAGCCTCTATGTTCGGAAACATATTGACTTCAGGAAATTAATAAATAGATTCTGATATCAAGAGGGTGCCCTTCAGCAGCTGAGGAAGAGAGGCAGTGGGCAGAAAAATAGCCATATAGCATTAACGCTGCATTATGATGAGGAATATGACATGCAGTGTCTTGGAGACTCTCAAGCAAAGAGTGTGTGCTGCACCATGGCCCCTAGACTGATTGCTGTGATCTAAGGCTACTGATGGGTCACGTGGCTTATTCTAATTATGGTCAAGTATCCATGCGCTTCAGGGGCTCCTGTATGGCTGCTCCAGGGTGTTACGGCCCGTCTACACTACAGGCGTCAAAAAATGCTTTCAACGCTTCGCCCATTCATTTGAATGGGGTGACGTAGGATATTTTCAAACTTCGCCGAACTGCATTGTGGGTAGCATGGCAAGGCGTTGCAAGCATCGCGAGCGTCTATCGGCGTCAAAAGTTGAACAATGTTCAACTTTTGAGGCTCGAAGCTGGCGTCAGCCAATCAAATCCCGTTTATGCAAATCTGCCAGTACAAGCGCTAGCCAATCAAACCGCGTGTATGCTGGGAGAGACTACGCAGATCATTTCCTCATATTCAAAAAAATGGAGGGAAAATTCATTATAGCGGTAGTGAATCACCCGGTGCTGAATGATCAGTCTCTGTTCATCTACCGGGATACAAACCAGAGGAGCGAGGCATGGAGGGAGGTGGCAGAGACAGTGGGTGAAACTGGTAGGTTTTCGCCTGTTTGGGGATTTTATATCCAGTTTACTTCGTTTTAACATTGCTATTGCTTTGTATGTCGGGGGCGGGAGATTTATGTGATTGGTTGTTGGTCGCAAAAAATCGCCAAGCCTCAGACACGCCCAGCTTCAAGCTTTTTCGACGCCTGTAGTGTAGACGGGCCGTTAACCACCTGGAATATAGTGTGTGTGTGTGTGTGTGTGTGTGTGTGTGTGTGTGTGTGTGTGTGTGTGTGTGTGTGTGTTTATACTGGAGCAAAGCAGGACCCAGTTGTTAATGTTATGATATTGTAGTTTAATCTTTATACATTCAACACTTGTAAGGTATCATTAGCAGTAATGAAAAGATTGCAAAAATGCTGACACTTCAAATGTCTGACACAGTTTAAATGCTTTTTGATTGTCATATTTGTATTTTGTAGGAAGTGTAGCACATAAACATCTCAGCAATGAGTGCTTTTAGGGCAAACATATAAAAACAACTACCAATAATCACTAACACACTTAAAGATGCCTTATGTCTCTTTGAGGTTTTCCTGTTGTGTGTTATACTGTACATGTTGTGTGCATGTAAATGGTCGGCAAAGGCTTGAATCTCAAAGTTCCCTCCAGAGAGAGTTTCTCTCCTAAACACTACCCCCCTGCCTGAAACGCCTTGATTGGACTCCTTTGTTTACAACTTTTTTATTCTGTAAAATACAACATTGTAGGTGGTAAGCTAATGGGCGGTACATCTCCAACACATCTGTAAGTAGTGGACCAATCACAACAGAGCTGGTCAGCTAACCAATCAGAGCAAACTGGTCTATGGCTTCGGACAGAGGGTGAGAGGTGCTGCAGTACAGGCTGTATGAGAACAATAAAGCCCTTTTTGAACATTAAAGCATGTAAACATGTCACAGTAGAAGCACAAATATGAACCTGAACATGAGCATAATAGGGCCTCTTTAAGACACTAACTCTTTGTTTTTATGTAGGAGGAGAAACACACTTAAGCCATGGAGAAGCCCACATTAGCAACACTATATTATGTCATTTTACAAATTGTAATCTCAATTTTCTGAAATCATACGTTTTCTGTGCAGGAGAAGAGGCCTTAACGATATTTGTGGACAAGAGGAAACTGAGTAAGAAAGCAGAGGTGAGCGATTATTCCGGAAACTCGTCCACTGTGACTCTGGAGGCTCTGCACCAGCTGGCTGCCTCCTACTTCATCGACAGGGAGAGCACTCTGCGCAAGCTGCACCACATCCAGATCGCCTCAACTGCCATCAAGGTAATGCCTTTGTATCTCTATCTCAATTGTTCATCAGCCCAAAATCAAGTCAATACCATCATGCAGACATTGACAATAAGCTGAGATGGTAAAGATTCAAGAGGCTGAGTGTCTTGGTCGATAACTGTTTGACTTACGTCCTTGACAACCTTTTGTTACTATGTCTTTCATATTTGTACAAACTTTTTTTGCATACACATTTTGCAAATCCATCCATCCATCCATCCATCCATTCATCCATCTTCTCCCGCTTATCCGTGGTCGGGTCGCGGGGGTAGCAGTTCCAACAGAGAGCCCCAAACTTTATTTTCCCTGGCGACATCAACCAGCTCTGACTGGGGGATCCCAAGGCGCTCCCAGGCCAGCAAAGAGATATAATCCCTCCACCTGATCCTAGGTCTACCCCTTGGTCTCTTCCCAGCTGGACGTGCCTGGAACACCTCCCTAGGGAGGCGCCCATGTGGCATCCTTACTAGGTGCCCGAACCACCTCAACTGGCTCCTTTCGACGTGAAGGAGGAGCGGTTAAACTCTGAGTCCCTCCCGGATGACTGGACTTCGCACCTTATCCCTAAGGGAGACGCCAGCCACCCTGCGGAGAAAACCCATCTCGGCCGCTTGTATCCGCGATCTCGTTCTTTCGGTCATGACCCATCCTTCATGACCATAAGTGAGGGTAGGAACGAAAACGGCCCGGTAGACAGAGAGCTTTGCCTTCTGGCTCAGCTCTCTTTTCATCACAACGGTAAGGTAAAGCGACTGCAGTACCGCTCCTGCTGCTCCGATTTTCCGGCCAATCTCACGCTCCATTGTTCCCTCACTCGAGAACAAGACCCCGAGATACTTGAACTCCTTCACTTGGGGTAAGGACTCATTCCCTACTTGGAGTGGACAGTCCATCGGTTTCCTGCTGAGAACCATGGCCTCAGATTTGGAGGTGCTGATCCTCATCCCAGCCGCTTCACACTCGGTTGCGAGATTTTGCAAATCATGTCATGTAACTAGTACCAAGCCAAACTTGGTTTATTTTAGTTAAAATACCATTTACTTTATCTACAGGAGACATTTGGCCGACTCAAAAGTAATCTAATCTCAGTGTTTACAGACTTTGAATAAGTAAGGTAGCTTAAAAAGGTAACATTTAGATATAATGAATACCATTAATATTGTTCGAATTACATTGGAGTTTAATTGACTAATATATACTTTTTTAAATGCTCTTGAATGCACTCTTCTCCAAAAAGATTGTATTAAAAAACAAACATAAGACCTTCTGCTCATGTCCCTCTGTTTATCCTTGTTAAAAAGTGGCAGACCAGCTTTGATTCTGAACATGAAAATCTACAAAATCAAAGTGTATGATTTCTGGTTTTAAGGATTTAAGATGTACCTCTCGCTGCCAACTGGAGCTGCTTACATTGGAAGCTGTCCAGAAGAGCTTTATATGAAATCCTTCTTTGAAAGAAAGAAGAACAAAATTACCATAGCAGGAAGTGTTACAACATATTGTTATATCCTAAACTACAGGATATCTGAACTATATAAGCTACATTAAAATATATGATGGCTAGGGAACTGTAGAGACCATGATACAGTAGATGCACCAAATGTAAGGCTTTACCACATTCAACATGGAATTATATGGACATATTATCAATAAAGAAAGATTGTAGCGACATGGTTTGTGTTTATCTTTGGTGATAACATTGCAATGCAATACCTAGCAGGTAATAAATATATATTAACTAGAGATGTCCCGATTCGATCACGTGATCGGGGATCGGAGCCGATCACGTGATTTTCAAAAGATCGGAATCGGGGATCAGTTTTTTTTTTTTTTTTTTAATGTTACAAAACAAAAATGACCATGTTCACGTCTTAAAGTCATCCTGAGGCCTTAGTTTTGGTTTAAAATGACACAACATCATGTATGTGTTGCTTCTTTTGGGCTTGTTTTCATTTGCTTATTTCTCTCAAATCTGGCAACAGAGTGGGCGCAGTGTCTAATAGTAGCAGTAAGCTAACGAGAGGCTACGTTCAGCTGGTGACTCGGGAGTTGTCAGGAGTTTGGAAGTATTATAAAATTGAAAGCGGGGGCAGTGTAACAGCCAGATGCAATGTTTGCAAGGCGGAGGTTCCGCGTGGTGGAAAGAACAGAGCTACGTTCAACACGACCAATCTAATACGATACCTGAGAAATAAACACCAACAACAACACGACGAGTACACAGCGGCCACTCAGGGAACGGCACTGACACAACCGACACTTTCAGAGACTTTTAAAAGGAAAGAGAAACTGCCCCAGAACAGTGAAAAGGCCAAAAAAACAACAGCCAAGATAGCTAAATTCATCGCGTTGGATCACCAGCCGTTATCTGTTACCTTTTTTTTCTCATTGCATAAAGATCGGATCGGGAAAAATCGGTATCGGCAGATTGTCAAAATCAAATGATCGGAATCGGATCGGGAGCAAAAAAAGGTGATCGGGACATCCCTAATATTAACTATAAAATAAAAAGGCATTCGCAGAGCGCAGTCCTCCGTCAAGGCCAATGGTGCGTTCAATGCTCCTAGGATGGTCCCATTTTCCAAGTTGGAAAGTCATTCTTCCGACTTTGAAGTGCGATGAACATGAGCATGAACGATTATTGGAAAATGTAAAACAACATAGAGGCTACAAAGAAAATGTGTTTTATCGCTCAAAGCATTTAAAGAACATGTTTGCAGTTACAGAAATGTTCCCAGTTCTTTATAATAATTATAATTATTGAGCACAAATGCCTATGCCTGCAATGGGTAACTATATACTCTATGTCATTAGCTCCCTTATTTATTTGTTTTCCCTTGGCCAACATTTCATCCAGTTTCATAACAATCAGGCTAGACACATTTCCATAATCTTGCTAATAGACAAGGAGACAGAAAAAAATGGGAAAAAAACAGAACTTCTTGGGCATACGTAAATAAAAATGTTCAATATACAATTACCTCATATCAAATAAGAAGGCCAAGAATCAGTCAAATCAATATAATTTAACACTGCTCTACCCAATACATAAAGTGAGTCTTGAAATACATTTAGACACTTTGTGTATCTTTTAACTCTATGTAGAGTGAACGCAATATAAACAATTTCAATTTCAGAGTTTAAATGTGTCTGTTGGAAATTATGCACCAGAAGGAAATTATTTCCTTGATATAAAACAATGACTATGGTGATAAAAATAAAATGGGAGATGACGCTTTTTATCAGCCTTCTTGTGATGAGATATAATCTTCACCCATCGTGAGCACATAAAGTCCGGAGGAAGCTCCGTGATGAGCACATATGGTGAGGGGGAAGATAAATGAATCTTGTGAGACACAGCTTGTGACAGGTTTCTGCCTCCGGTGTCACCTTCAGGCCGCATGGGGGTTAATAGGGCTACGGAGCGAAGGATGACCCTCCTTTCTGTCTCTTTCTTTCATTCCTCGAAAAAACAGCTGCAAGTAGGCTTGTACAATATAGCTTTCTCTGCTGTAGCAGAACATGAATCAGACTTCCTGCACTTATATCAAAGCTCCATCCTCACCCAACATTGTGTTCAGGGAGGGTCGGGTTTTTCATTTGCAGCTAAGGTGGGCGCATCAGAGGTGCCGAGAAAGATGCTTTTGTCTGTTTCATTTCTTGGGAATTAGGGTTTTTCTGTATCTACAGAGAGGAAGAGAAGAAGAGAGAGTGTGCTTTCATGCTCCAAAGGCACTCATCTGGCGTAACTGACAGGTAGGAAGTGGAAAGAGGAGAGATTCACCTCCATCGCTGGTAAAAAGCGAGTCAGAGGAGCGATACCTTCCTCTACACTTGTGCTTTTCTTTGCACAGGACGTTGAGCTGCCAAACAGCGGAACAGATACAACTAAGCACTTTTCTGCATGAATTTATAATCGAACAAGTTTAGGTATGAATAACAGAGGGCTGGTGAGGCGGAGACCCCCCTGCTGTCTCCACGCAAAAGGGGAAATTGAAGCTCATTTTGGAGGAAAAGCCTGTTACTATTGTTGTGTGTGGATTGGTTGTGGATATTTAGGCTCCCTTGAAAGATTCACGGAGCAGAGTTAAGTCTGGGATCAACCCGGCTTGTTTGTACAATGAGTAATGAGCCCATTTGTTTGAGAGCGTCAGGGATCAGTTTTGTTACGATTTGAGTATTTGACTAAATCGATGACAATGTCCCCATCTGACTGAGGCCATATTTGTCAGTCTGTATGAACAGTAATGACAAAGACTATAGACTTGAATGAGGAAACATTAGTATTGCATTGTGTTCTATTCACAGTTGATAAAAGCATTTTTGTGTTGTTGATCTGACTCAATCACAGAGTAGACAGAAGGCTGACTTGACAATCTTTTATATCAGTTAAACCTTTTTAAGTTTCACCTTTTTACGGAATATAGGGACACCATTTACACCTTTTATTTAAGTAGTGTACCACTGCCTCAGTATTACATTTCAGACACAAATGGCAGTGATTATCACCAACATCTACAGCTTTTGAGCCCAGTGAAGCTCATTGTTTTGGTTTTGGGACCCATCGCTGTAAATAACATTTATTTTGGGTGAAGAAACCCCCCATTTCTACCAAACAAGCTGTGATAAATTCACACTACCTGCATTGCAGCTAGCTTTTGATTACATGTTAAGATCTTAAACATGATAGTTCACTGAGGTGCTGGTAGAAACCAAACAAGAGCTAAATCTCTTTTAGGCAGTGGGCAGCAACTCCTTATTACAGATGCACCGGTGCTTAAGTGTTTCTTAATATATAAACATTGGGGTGTCCTAGTTAATATCATAGACTGTATAAAGGTTCATATATTAGGCAGGAATCAGAGCTGCACTCACGTGTTTAGCATTGTAGTTGGAATCAAAACAAGTTATTCCATTATGTACCCAAAATCTGAAAGAAAATGTAATAACTCACATTCCCACATGAAATAATTTACCAGACCATCGATCTTCAATTTTTGTACGACTGACTAGACAGACGCTCATGCCCACTCAGTCCTTGAAGTTTAACTATAACCACTTCTTAACATGTCAATATGTCAGGCAGTATGGCACTAGCCTTTATTGGCAAACAATCCTTTTGTGCTCAATATGTTGGATGCCGGATAAATAATTATAATTAAACAAATACATGTTTAATGTTTTATCATTTGTGAGTATTTTGCTCTCAAGTAATTAGTTGGTAATATACTCCTGGGACTCTAGCACATTAAAGTTCCTATAATGAAATAAATCCAAACATATTCCAAAGAAAGGCACAAATCTAGCAACAGTTCAAGTATTTGCTTCAATCTCTCAGCCATGTACCAAGATACAGGTGGCCAATAATGTCCTATTACATATTTGTAATATACCACAATGTATCTACAGTGAATAGCAGCTGCTATGCAAAGCGGAAATGGAATGCTCTGCTCATCAGTCAACGTTTTGCCATATCAAATAATTCCTTATAAGGATTCAATATTCATGTGGTCTGAATCCCAGGGTTGTTTCTCATTTCCTCACATTCATATCAGCATTAGAAAACCCCATGAGGGAAACAAGAGATTTATAATGTGATAGTCATATTATTGCTGAAGAATTGAACTCAAATTATCTTCATTTCCTTTTCTCATTCACAGAAGATATGTATTATTCCTCGATCAAACCCCTTTATTCTGGATTAGGGTTTTCATTAAAAAGCCTCAGTTTTCCCTGCATGCAACACAGGCATCACTTGAGTACCCAGGCCCTTCAGCCCTTTATGATTGTGTTACTGATCGACTGACCCTCATTGTCTCACCTCATCCATCCGTCACTTTACACCAACTGTCCTCTGACAAGCCTGACCAGGACAAATTGCTGAACAAAATATGGTGTCCTAGAACCACAAAGAAAGAAAATGAGAATCAGTTAGATGCTCTCTGCCGTGTCAAAGCAAGAAAAAGGAGAGCGTTGAAATAAGATCTCTTCTTGCAAATTAAATGAAAACGGATGCTTTGCTGGAATTGCTCTGTGGAAAAAAGGTGAATCGAAACAACTTCAATCATGGACTAGACAAAGAAAAAAAAGGTGTAGCATTCTCGCAGAATAACGAGAGAAGGAAACCAATCTTTATTCCAGTTTTTTGTTTGACATTCACAAGTACATATCATTATGCAGAAACCACTGTGATTCAACCTAACACAGAAAGCCTTTACACAAGGCATATTCTTCCCATCAAACTTATTTTGAATCTGATGTATAGTAACGACATTTAAAAAATGTAGTATCATTTAACCAGAACATTTTACAGATTAGCTTTTTGTTTGTTGTTGCCCAGGTGACGGAGACCCGCACAGGTCCTCTTGGATGCAGTAACTATGATAACCTTGACTCTGTTAGCTCTGTGCTGGTTCAGAGTCCTGAAAATAAAGTCCAGTTGCAAGGTTTGTCTAATTGTTACCACTTTCCTGTGTAATTAAAGATGATTCTGAAAAATATGTACTTTGGATTACCAACATAACATACAGATTAAGAGATTGTGTTAAGTAAATTAGTTCAGGCAGCATTATATTGTCATGAAAATGTCACTTCACACATTTGACAATTGTAAACCTTGGTTTCCCAGGCCTGCAGGTGATCCTCCCTGACTACTTGAGAGAAGGTTTTGTGAAGGCTGCTCTCAGCTACATAGCCTGTAACGGCGAGGGGGAATTTGTATGCAGGGACAATGACTGCTGGTGCTATTGTGACCCCAAGTTCCCAGAATGCAACTGTCCCTATTTGGACATCCAAGCCATGGAAAAGAGCCTGGAAAGGATCACAGAGACATGGGGGATACTCTATAAAGAGTTTGAGGAGTCAGGTAAGAAAGGCAAGACCATCATGGATTTGTACTTCTGTTCACGTTGCATGCCTCATCCTAAATGCAGGAGTAAAAACCTTTGGAATAATACATTTGAGAGGGAGTGATGAGGAATTCAAAGGTTTTATCTGTACCGTTAAATCTGAGTAAGCTTCCTATATATATTTCCTCCCCATTCTGTGATTTATAGGTGAACTACCCTGTAGTGAATTGTTAGTTCTGGAAAACTTTTTGCATAGAAGGAAGTGAACTGTAGAAACGGATAAAACAAATAAAATAAATGAATTGCTTCTGGCTCAGGTAGTTACCAATAGGTCTCGAGCAGATTAATCAGCCATAAAACCCATGTATTGCCTGTCCAGCTTTTTATATCACAGGGGGAAGCAAAGTTTAGGCAGAAGCTCTTAGTCTAATGTTTGGTTATTATTGCTGTGCTAGGTCGCTCTGCGATTATTACTCGGGTGAAATCAAAATGTCTGTCTTTTTTTCCACTACTTAGCTTTGGAAAAAAAGATCCTAAGTGCAATTACTTTTAAAGTTTATGTTGTAATAGCTGGGTGGGAAGAGAGGGCAGGAGTGTGCCCAGAATACAGACACCCGCAAGTGTTATAGATGTGTCCTTCAGCGAGGGATATCACATGCTTCTAGCCAGCTGATTTATCAGCAGAGGGAGATACCAGGAAGTGGAGGACCATTGAAAAAGATGGAGTTCAAATATAAACTCCCACACTAGTTTGGTTAACCTTGAACCAAATGACAAAACAGGTGAAAATAAAAATGGCAGTGTTTTTCAGGGTTTTATGTAACTCATTGTTAAAATATGTGGCATTTGTATTCAGAATGAATATAATTGACTTGGTTTATGTGACATTTATGGAGCAATAAGTGCAGATAATCAGTGTGACAAAAAGTATCATATTTAATTTTCATTTTAAATAAAAAAGAAGTCTCTGACATAATAAACACATTGGCCAGTTGTAAAAGGAGAAAAGTACATTAAGGAGGTTAACCTTATGGAGATACATATGACAACGTTCATGATTGTCACACTCACAGTATTACAAATAGCTTCAGTCGTACTGTCATTAGTAATCTGTCAACCAATCAGTGAGGTTATATTCAGCATTTAAAAAAATAACATATAATGGTCTTTCTATTCATGACACTTAAACATAAATGTTACCCTGTGTCACAAGAACAAACGTCCCATTTCAATTGTTTCTGCTTTAAAGTGGACACTATTGTCTTTTATCATTCATTATGGAAGCTTTTGGTTTATTTTTTATTTATACTGACCATAGTCAAATTGTTTGAGTTAAATCTAAAAGCACCACCTGCTAGATGCTGTACCAGAATTCAAGGTGAAATCTACATGTCAAGCCCAAATAGAAAAGCCTGCAAAGGTCTGACGAATTTCAAAGGGCTCTTCAAAAGCAACTGAGAAGCAAAGCATATATTGCCTCAAACTGAACGACACATCTGTTGCATCCTTTGCATTGTATAGCATCACACATTCAAAAGAGCACTGGTCCATAGATAAATTGAGTGTTGAGGTGGTCCTTTAAAGGTTTTTAAGCACACCACGTTGTATGATAATCATTGACATAAATTATATGAAAGAACAGAAATTAAAAAAGGATATAAACACAGGAGGGCAACATATAGTATATGTTTTGTCAGGTTTCCATTATGCATATATAAAAGTAAAATATCACAACTCATACTGTTTAATAAGGTACCAGTGAATCAGCATGTATAATGTAAATACCTTATATTGCATAAGAGGAAGTCAACATCCAATAAAACAATTAGATATCCCCTTGTAAAATGTGTCTTTTTTGTTTGTTACAGATGAATTCAAGGCGTTCTACTCAAGGCTTCCGCAGAACTATTTCCTGAATGTGTCAGGCATACAACACTTGTGGGCGTTGGACAACTTGTTCCAGTGGCGTTATGAGCAGCTGGAGAACAGCATGCGAGTCCTCTCCAGTAGAACCCAGAGAGTCATCTTCAAGCTCTTCAGTCTCAGTAAAAGATGTCAGCGCCAGCCCCAAGTCCGCCTACCGAGAGAACGGTGAGCAATGAAACACTCATCTTATGTGCAATGCAACTATGTATGCCAGATATATTTTTTCACAATTTGACAAAGCTTTGATGACTTCATGCCAACTTTGGTCTTCATTAAACCTACTGCCGCCTATATTTTTCGTTTAGTTAAAAAATAATTGAATTTTCCTTACTGTTTGATTGATATAACTCCATGTGATTCTGAAATGATTTGCCTAAGGCCACTGATCAACAAGTCCTGCAGTTATTTCTATAGACTAATCAAGGGATATAGGTGGAAGTAACAAAGCTGGCATTGCTGTGGTGGCATAGCCATTAAATGTATGGATTCATCATCTCTTTTTTTTACAGCCGTCGCAAATAAATATGTAGATCCTGCCCCATGTTGAAAGGCAGTAAAATGCCATTATAACAAGCCACACATCTACTGCTCACAAGCTTTCCTTTTTATAATCTTTATTTGGATCCTGAAATATTCATGGAATCAAGACATCCTTTAATTGGACTTCATTGGACATCTCCATGACATCCCTCTGCAACCCCATTCTCTGCTTTTATTTAATGGCCGTAAACAACAAAATACCACTCCTTCTGCATATTAGAGGATTTATCAAACTCTGTATTGTTAGGGTTTAGTTTAGGGAATATTATAACCAAGTTGGTTAAATTGGGAAATACTGCCCTAAAGCTAAACCAATGTTGACTTGTCAGAAAACCGAGTAAAGATTTTATAGAAACTAACTTCCACTTCAGCCACTGAGACTTTTTGAGATGCTGTAACATCACTGCCAACCTTCAGCTGCTGACAGAAGAGTCATTTTTCACATGCCAGCAAAGTCAATACAATAAATACAAACATGTTCTTTTGAATGTTTAACAAATGCTGGTAAACACATGTTCTGAACATTCAGACTATTGCTTTAGATGTAATGAAATTCACATTCACACATTTCTTTGTCAGTGGACCTGATTGCTGAAGGTGATGGATCCAACCATTACTGTCAGTTACAACACATAAATCATCTACCGCTTTATTCAATGTCCAGTCACTCTGTGTCTTCGCTTCTTCTTTGTTTACTCTGTCTCAGTCCCGATCTGTGTTATTCTCGCAGCTGCCACATTGTCACAACACAGATTAATCTCTGATCTACGCAGCTGATATTTCCAAACACTTGGCAAGAAAATAACTGGGAGCGCCATCGCCCAGGCAGTGTTTATCTATGTTATTACCGCCATGGCAGCTATAAAGCTTTCCCTTTCTTTTCCCTCTTCACAGATATATCCATACTCAGAAGAAAGAGATTGAGAATGGGGTGTTTGTCAGTTTTGCCTTGGAGAGAAACGGAAGCTCTCGAAAAAATCCTCACTCTTATTTCAAAATCCTGTTTGAGGCACTTGAGATAGATGAGGGATATGTGATTGATTTTGCTTCCTGGGGGTTACTTGTTTCACTGCACTGACAATTATGAGCGAATAAGCCAGTCGAAGCAGCAGTCAGCTTGGCTTTTATTAGGCGGGTAATGATAACACTGAACAGCTCGCTTTGTGCTCAAACTTTTGCCATTAGGCATAACGATGAATATTGTCATTCATGTAGTGATTTCACTACTTATGGTTTAATCAGCTTAGAAAATGCCTTGTGTGTAGGCTTCAAGAAAAGGTGCCAATGTTGTGCATGTATGCCAAGTTGTTCAATGCTTCACTGGAAGAGTCCTCTCAATTCTTTTTTTGACTATAAGAGTGCAATTATAATTTCACAACAAGACCAGAAAAAGGGAAAGTTGAATAGCTTTTTAATTAACTTGTCAAGGGATTGAGTAGATCAGACCAATTTCATTTTAGCAGCTTTACACTGTTTCAATTACATGATTTCCAGAGATGGGGTCGTTACTAAAAAAAAGCAATATATTACATATTACATATTACTTTTAAAAAAAAGTAATATATTACACTACTTTTTTACTCTCTACATAAAGTAACTCGTTACTTTACTCCCAGGGCCGGCCCGCCCCTCCCTGCAGGCAGATCACGCAGACTGCTAAAGTTTCAAATGTTCTTGTTAGTTCAGTTGTCGCATAATACTGATCCAGATAGCTCCTGAATGTTTTCCTATCTGACCACGGCTGTCCTCTGTCTCCTGCTATCTGTATATTTTGCGCAGTCTATCTCTGCTCACGCTGTTGCATCGGCGTGTTCTCCTGCGTGTTGGCCATGTGTTGCACTGGAACCAGACACCGCAAAGACTTCAGCCGAGCATGTACGAACTGCGCATGCGTGAGTGGCAATAACTCTCCTTACCAGCAGGCGGCGGTAGTGTGTATTCGTCATTCAAAACAGGCAACAACCGGAAAACAGAGAAGAAGAACACACTACGTGATATATACAAACAACAAATAGCTGTGCGTTAGCTTCACCTTAGCATGTGTTCTTCTTTGCAGGTGTTTGTTGAGGTTTGATGACTGATTTTAGTAAGTAACGAAGTAACGCGTGTCGGGGCAATGTTAGTAACTGTAGTGTGATTACTGAATTATAAAAGTAGCGCGATACACCCAACACTGATGATTTCACACTGAGGAAAAATTGTCAAAAGGCGTAATTATTGCATATGACACTGGTATTTTCTTCCTTTGAGTTGTCTTGCTTGATTCGAGCTTCTGATGCGGCTTTCACACCAGCGCTTTTCCCTTTCTAGCCTTGAGCTAGAGCTTTTCTGGTTCAGCTCCGGTTTCCCTTTTCTGCTCCAGCTCTGTTCACACCGCCCAGCACCCGACTGGTGCTGCCGCTGCTGCGTCATGACGTCACCGTTTACATCGCTGATTTGCTCCCCAACGGCATTACGGCGCTCACAACAACAACTGCGTCGGGTCGATGATCGTGTTGCTTTTAATCACACGAAGCCAGAATAAATTGAATAACGACTTCTCCAACCTTATACTTTGCTCCAGAGTGCCGTGGTTAATTGTTTATTAATGTGTTTCTGCGGCATTTACCGACCGCTGCACTGTTGGCTGCTCTTCTACGGGAGTTTATTCTCCTCCGTTAGCTCACACTGCAGCGGCCGCTCTAAATTATTCACTGTCCGACTCACACAAGCAGCTGATACATATCCCCAGTTCCCCTTAGCCTAAGTGAATGTGTGTCAGTCTGAATTGACGCTGTTTGGCATCACAACGCTGTTATATAAGTTTCTCTGGTATAAAATGGGTGATGTTAGCATAGCAACCGAAGCTAAACTGACTACTTGCTGTGGCATAAACCGTTTTCTACAGGCACATTTTACCGGCGTATTTTTATTATGATTCTACTTGTGATAGTCGGACACGACAACCTGTGCAGCCCATGTATTGATTCCATCCGATAGCTGCTATAATACAAAACAACACGTCTGCCTCTCTCCACAATGATCAATAACAGTGAACGGATGGTCAAAGCAACGTACAAATAAACAGAATCACACGAAGCCTGGTTAGTGTTGCCTGACTTTATAAAGTGTGTTTATTAAGCACTACTGCTTGTAGGCAGGCATGACAGTCGACCCATGTTCAGGGGAGGTGGGTTTAGTTTCCTGCCCGCCTCGACGTAAGAGAGACGTAAGCTACGCCACCTCTTAGCTCCGAAGCTCTTGCCTCTAGACCGACAATTTTTTGGAGCTGGAAGTGAACCGGATTCCGGAGCTAAGAGCCGGCGCCGCTACGGTGTGAACAGGAAAAACCGGCGCTTTTCAGGCTCCAGCTCAGAGCCGGCGCTGAAAAAGCGCTGGTGTGAAAGGGGCATGATTGACTGACTGTTTTGCCTCCAACAGAAGATCAATATAAGTTATTAGGAATGAAAATTATTAGAAACAATACAATATATTATTTACAAAAACAAATAAGGTTTAGCCCAGCTTGTTCATATGCTATGTGAACCAGAATATATCAGCGTTTCCGCCACGGGGGCGTCTTGCCGTCATTTGACGGCCTTATTCAGCTCGGGACGCCCTGAACTCGAGCCGAGGAAGTCCAAAAATATTAATAATTCCAGAGAAGATCGAGAGTTGTTATCACTTGAAATGACGAAAAGGAAAAAAGGACAAGGACATCCCTCTGTTGGAGGGGCAAAGGAGTCTGGTGGGATTATTTTCGGAGTATTGAAGATCGTTTCCCCGACATCGAAGGTGCCTGCTATAGGACAACACGGAACGTGCGCGATTTGGACGCGATGAACGGGGGGGTTTTAGTGGAGCACACGTGTGAGCTGCGAGCGCCGGAGCCTCGCAGCGGCGATGCTGAGGCTCCGTGGTAAACTGTGGTAACATGAAGAGCCGTTTGGGAGCCGACACAGCCGTCGCTTTAAGAGAGCCGTACCAAATGATCCCCCCCCCCCCCCCCCCCCCCCCCCCATTGCTGTCTTTATAACTGTTCTAACATGACAATGTGAAACGCTAGGTCCGTAAATAATTGTTTACCCAGTGTGGAGTTGACTACCGCTCATATAATCTTAAACTTTTTAGATATATTTTAGATTAACTGGATCACCAACTGTAAAACAGGCCCTATAGCCCAACATCAGAATCGTACCTCATTGATGCTCTTGTTGCTGAATAGGAGCAAATTCCTGCCATGTTCCAAAATAGTGAAAGCCAGGAACAACCAGCAAACTGCAGGCTGTTTAGAGCCAAATAATTGTTCTCAATGGATTGGGAATGGCATGGTTATTTATAACATGTGGGTGTAATATTTTGGTGTAGACACTTCTGGCCAATAATTGTACATTACTTCAAGGAAACCTTGCACTCTGTCAAGGAATCCAAATATGTTGTATTTGAAATTCCACCAACCTAAGGGAGGTCCCTTTCATCTTTTCCTTTATTAAATAGTATTTTATCGATAGAAACAGAAATTGAGTGTCCTTTGAATCTTTGGCTGAGTTGTTTTATTCAAAAAACAGTCACTACATTTGGCTGATTTATTTTCAGTATCACTTGCTCTTATAAAAGCGTCATGAGTTCAAGACACTGTGATTTACAGCAGCTGTTTGTAGGAAGTGTAGGCAAAGGCTACGTACACCGGGGAACTAACAATACAGCCACAGTCTCGTCTTGGTGACAGCTTTGCTCTGCTGAAGCTGTCAGAGATGAAATGCCTTGTCCACAGGTAGCGCGTGATGGAAAGAAAGAGCCTTTCCGGATCATTTCCCATGACCGCTTTTTCCATTAGGGGGTTTTGATATTTAAATCAGTGATTCTCTGAATTCAGACTAGCTTCCAACTGCCAAGCACACAATATGATTTGGATACAATGGAAGGAAGCCCCATATGTAATCCAGCACACATTTTAAGATTAGCATAACGTTTACCACAATATACCCTCATCACAGAAAGAGGGTTATTTTTTTTCTGAAAGGAAAGTCAGCGGTATGTACAGTGTGTTCCCTCTCTTCAGCGAGCAAAGAGGATAAGAGGCATAAAGGAATCACAGTCAAGAAAGTGCTACAGACGGGAATCAAACTCGGGCCCACATGAGGGAATTACATGCCTGAGAGTAATTTACCCTGCGGCTGCAGCAGCTTCTAGTATTTATGTTACAAATTGATCAAGGACAACTTTCTCTGTCTATACTCTTGCGCTTTCTGTTCCTTTTCAAACTCCGCTTGTGTAACCTTCACTTTTTAATGCAACAAAAAACTGGTAGTCAACAGAAATGTCTGGCCAGACATTTCAGTATACAATACATTCCAGTAGGATTGGAGGTCCTATATAATCTTATAAACCATATTGTACTATGTAGTTAATTATTGTAAAAGTTGTTGAGGTAATGTTTATGTAACTTACACAGAATTGTTTTGTATTAAATGTATTATGTCAACAGGTTCCACATAATTGTATTCGGTTAGTTGAAACAATAAAAAGTTGAACCTATTATTTTTTATTTCAACTTAATATTATTGCTTTCAACCAACCAATACAATTATGAGTAATTTGTTCAACGTTTAAATGTTGTGTAGATATCTAAAAAACATCCACTTAAGACCTTACCTAAACCATGCTTACTTGAATCCTCTGGGGCAAGCTGCATGCTTTACATAATGCTGATGATGCTTTCTATTTTTTAATGAGCAAGCTGTCTGCACACCCGACAGGTCTCCTGGACCTAATAAAGCAGCAACCTATTAAACTAGATCAACCTATAAGCCCTGTTCAATAACACTCCCCTTCTTCCTCCCTCTTTCCTCCTGTGTTTTCTATGGTGCAGGTCTCAGTCATACTGGCTGAGTCATATACAGTCCCTCCTGTATTGCTCAGAGAACAACCAGCTTGGTGCTTTCTCTGAGGAGCTCCACAGCTGTAGCTGCCGATACGAACACAGCCCCTGTCAGCTGCCCCCGCCATGCTCCGTTGGGGAAGGCTCGGCCTGTGCTGCCTGTGCACCAGACAACCACACACGCTGTGGGAGCTGCAACCCCGGCTTCGCCCTGACGCAGGGGGCCTGCAGGTCCATGGTGGCTGACTCTACGGAGAACTACCTGGGATTTGAGACGGACCTCCAGGATTTGGAGCTGGGCTACCTACTGCAGAGAGCTGACCGCAGGCTAGAGGTATTTTTCTTTTTGCCTTTTGTTAAATCAAGTCAGCATGAGCTGAGCTGTCTTTCACACCAGTATCCTGGGGAGGATATACTCACTTATGTGAGCAACTCAGCATTAAAAAAGTCTTGCCCTTCTGGCTACTGAGGAACTTCAGTGTTTCTCCATACTTTTCCACCTTTTCAAACACATTTGAGATGTTCTGAAAATCCATGGCAGCTTGTAGTGCATTGATTAGAATAGGTTAGCTTTAAGGGTAATTCTTGACTTGGGAATTGGCAGATTATTGCTTTTTGTTGCTTTCACAATGGCATTGAAGACCAAAGGCTAAAAAATAACTGAGAGTGCAAAATGTACATGCTCCTCAGATGTTCCTATTCTTTTGGCTTTGGTGTGTTCATGAGCTTTAAGTTGAAACGTTGGAACATGAGAGGTACAAATATAGATGTATGTATTTTATTTCTCAGAGCATTTTAAAAACATATTGATTTCTCAATGAAGGTTTCTCATTTCTCTAATTCCCCTCCTCGACTCCTATCCTCGTGTCTTAGTCCCGCCCACAGGAGATGCGAGTGGAGGAGTCGAGGAGGGGAGCCGAGGAGAGAGGAAGGGAAGCAGCAGGCGGTTAGAGAAATGAGAACTCCTCTCCTCTGAGCGGTCATTTTAAAGAGACGTCCATTAATGATGACAGGAGGCACAGCAGCCCTCTGTCTGATGGACAGATGTGTTCATGATGACTTATATATTTACTTTTAATTCATGCACAGTGCGGTATAATGAGACAATAACAGGCTACAGATGCGGACATATACACACACACACATATATATATATATATATACAATTTCAGATTCAAACAAGTATGAGAGCACTCTTATAATAATGTAACACTATTAGAGACTGGATATATCCCCCCCCCCTCTGGTCGCTACAATGGGGAAATGAAATGACGGGCCAAAAGTTGTATTTACAAGTATTAAAAGTAAGCATTGGACACCAAACCATGCCGCGTCTACGCACGCACACACACACACACCTACACACTGTACAACCCACACCTTCACACTGTACCACACACACACCTACAGCTCCTAAAGCATATAATATATCAGGATACGGCCGTTGTGTATTTTATTATGTGAAGCACTAAATGGTTTTAGAAAGATATCTACTAAACTAAAGTATACAAATACTCACCAATAATAATAATCGTCACCAAAATAAATAAATAAGTGGTCTGAAAAAGGTTAATGACAAAAAAAATACACATAACCTAACCTTCATCAGGCAGTGTGTTTGTACCGGGGACAGGAGACCCCCCATGATGAGAAACTGTAAGAAATTACCGGGGAATCCCTGCGGAGTGGAGTCATGACGACTGGATCTGAATTATTTGTTTGTATTTGATGGTTTGTGTTCCAGCTGTCGATCAGCAACTATATAACCATAATCCAGTTAAAGGAAATACAACTAATGTGTTGTGTTATATTAGCTGTACAATTTACCACATGTGGTGTTCTTAGTTTCCATACCTCCTGTGTCGAGAACATAATCAAGGGGTGATCAATAACATTTCCGTATTTATTTATTTCTCCAAGTTATGTTTTTGTGTGCACTGAGGAGTCTCAAACAGGCGTTTGTTAAATCATTTTAAGATTGGCTTTATAATCAATGTTTGCAAATGAATTCTTCATATATGATAAATGAGGTAACATTTTATTTATGGTATTATTTCCACATATTTCTCTCCATTCTTCCTTCTTTGTGCTTAGTACGTACGCATGGGTCAGAGTTTACGTGGAGGACCGCACATTTTCGCGTCAAGTTAGTTTTTTATAATTCGCAAACAGTGCGTAGAAACTGGCGTACGCCATCTTTTGTGCGTACGCACCGTTTATAAATGAGGCCCCTTGTCACTACCGGAGGACCGAGGAGTCGAGGAGGGGAAATTAGAGAATTGAGAAACCTTCAGTGTGTTTCAACTAGTTCATTTTGCAAGTTGGAACGTGTCCATTCAAATAACTCAGACATAACATGAAAGCCCAAAAAAGACTCAACAAAATGGGGTTCTTACTTGGCTCATGCTACACCCTTTCCGAAAGTCTCATAAAACATGTTTTTTTCTGTAATCTGCCTGTTTCTATTTTAGCCAGATGTATTGCATTTTGTCCCCTTATGAGACATTGCAAAAAGATATACCATACCGTATGTATGATTTTCTTTTTTTTTAACATCCGATTGCGAGTTTAAAAAAAAATGTTGATAATTAACTTCTGCATGTATTCACTGTGTTCATGAGTGCTGTAAGTCTATCCTGTCTTCATGTCTGTCTCTGATAGGTCCATGCGATCTTCATCAGCAATGACATGCGACTGAACAGCTGGTTTGACCCATCATGGAGAAAGAGGATGCTGCTGACGCTGAAGAGCAACAAGTACAAGTCCAACATGGTCCACATGCTGCTGGGAGTATCCCTCCAGATCTGCCTTACAAAGAACAGTACCCTGGAGCCTGTCCTCACCCTCTACATCAACCCCTTCGGAGGGAGCCACTCAGAGAGCTGGTACATTCCTGTCAATGAGAACAATTTTCCAGACTGGCAGGCCACCAAGTTGGACCTGCCTTTCGAGTGCTATAACTGGACTCTGACGCTGGGCAACAAGTGGAAGACATTCTTTGAAACCATTCATATCTACCTTCGGAGCAGGATAAAGACTCAAACTGGAGTGAATGACAGCTTATATTACGAGCCGTTAGAAGTGACAGATCCTGCTAGGAACCTGGGTTATATGAAGATCAACAGCATCCAGGTCTTTGGCTACAGCATGCACTTTGATCCGGAGGCGATCCGTGACTTGATCTTGCAGCTGGACTACCCGTACACCCAAGGGTCCCAGGACACTGCCATGCTTCAGCTGATGGAAATTCGAGACCGGGTGAACCGGCTGTCCCCTCCTGGTCAACAGAGGTTGGACCTGTTTGCTTGTCTTCTGCGCCACCGGCTCAAAATGACTGCAAGCGAGGTGGTTCGCATCCATGTCACCTTACAGGCTTTCAGCTCACGTCTGCCCAACACAATGGATTACGAGACCACCAAGTTATGCAGTTAACAGATACTTGAGGGATGTTGGGACTGTACACAGCCTCAAGGAGAACTCCTGGACTTATGAAGTGCCCGTGGGGTGGAGATGCTTACGGGTGTTTTCTATGGATTACCAAACTGTAGGGTAAATCAGGAGAGAACCGACTGTGGACAGCTGAAGATTGTACTTATTGGGTTGTTTTGGTTTCTGTTTTGTGGCAACCTTTTTCAGTGCTATATGATTGAGTATGAGGTGGATCACCGAGAAAACGCACAAGAACAAACTCTTTAACACAATAATTCTTCATTACAAATTCCAATTCATAAAAGTTGAACCATCCTGTTTCAATATGACTCTGCTCATTTCTACTGCAACTACCAGTGCCAAATGAATGGACATTTTATGGTAAAATTAAAATAGTACTGTCTGTTTGTTTGTAACTTTTATATGTTATTTTGCTTTAGTGACAGTGTACTTTCCATGAAGACAAGAATACAGTGGTGTAAGTCAATATTTTGTAGATAAATTGATATTAAAACATCATGTTATAACAAATTCCAGTTGTTGGAATATTTGTCATCATTCATTTAGCTAGCTTTCTCTAAAAATGTCATTAAGTAATTGCATACACTGTAAGCAGTCTTTTCAAACATCAATCTAAAGCTGTCACTGATCTTGGAGGGGTAACTGATACACTGATTAGCCTCCATGTTACTCCATTAGTAATGATTAATCAACTGAGACACAAGCCTACATTTCTCCTATATCCCTTTCAAAGACAACTTATATATTTTTTAAATCTGCCCATCTTTTAGAAAAAACAGCCCTTGTTTAAGTTAAACATTACTTATTATCCAAAGGCAAACTAGTGTATAATTGAAATGATGCAACCTGGGCAGAGCAAGACAATCGTTTACAGTAGATATGACATCTCAAATACAGTGATTTAGGCTACTACACAATGCAGATTGGAAGTGAGTAAAAGGCAGAAGTCAGCTACAACAGGGGTTCCCACTTTTCAGCCCATGACCCCCGAAATAACTGTGCCCCCCCTCCACCACGTGAATTGTGGGGGGGGGGGGGGGGGGTTGTTAGTGAATTGTCAATGTGGAGAGACATTCTACAGATGGCCAGTCTGCCCCTGAAAATGTTCTATGGACATGTTATTATTAATGCACTCATTAAGGCGCCTTAATGAGTGACACACCAGATTTGTATTACTATTATTAATAATAACGTGTGCATAGCAGTGGCGAGCCGTGACTTTTATACCTAGTATAATAATAAAAGTAGGGTAGACATGTGGATATTATCCGGCTGAACAAAACGTGCATTTATCTAACAGGTTCGTTCCACAGACCTTATTTCGAGCCAAAATCCTATGGAGAAATCCCATTGCTCTTTGTCGAGGGAATCCAAGCGCGGCTTACTTCTGGGTTTTAGGACGCGTCACTGCACCACTTGCATAGACCTCACAGCGCGGAACTTGTCATAAAGACCGCGAAAATAAAGCCCGCCCCTTTAGAGGGAAGATATGATTGGTCAATTGTACTGTCATTTGAGATTACTCTCTCGTTGAGTTACTATAGCGGGCCCTCTGTGAATGTAGAGAGGGACCAACAAGCCCTCCCGTCTTCACAGTAACTCGCAGAGACGGCATTTAACCCTTCACATTCCAACAGAAACTGAACAGGCAGATTCTATGGATTTATTTATTTGGACATTTTATTTTAAATACAATTAAATCAAGTTATTTTGGTAAAACTAATGAACTATTTAACAACAACAATTTTTTTTTAATTTTTTATGTTTTCAAATATTATTTTTTAGAATATCTTAGGCCCTCACAGAGGGCCCTGACGGCTCACCACTGGTGCATAGACATTTTTCTGGGGCGGACTGGCCATCTGTAGAATGTCTCCCCCCGTAAGGTACCGCGACCGCTGTTTGCACCATGTAATCAGAGGTATCGTTCGAAAGCTCCGTCTCTCCTGCACAATAGTGATGGGAATTCCGGCTCTTCTTGGTGAGCCGGATCATTTGGCTCGGCTCACCAAGAAGAGCCGGCTCTTCAGTTTACCACATATTATACCTTTTATAATTCAATGAAATGTAGCCCTGTTTTGACTAATGATTTATATGTGTACACATCACTTAAATTATTCAATACATCCTTTGTACTGAAGTATTCAAAAGTAAAAATTACATGTTGAATATAAATGATTTACTGTGGCCAAATGTTTTCATTGCATTTACAGACCCTTGTAACTCTCTGATTCCACCCCATGAATGCACTGACTTGCTTGTAGAACCACGCTACACAAAGCAGATAGCAACACCTATAAAAACTTAAGCATAGACATTTAAAAAAAGGGGCTACTGTATGGACATTTTAAAATTATATTTAAAAAAAAGGCCCTGACAAAACAGCAGGGCTCTATTTCAGTAACTATTAAGTATTAACTATAGAAAAAAAGACAGCAACAGCTGACATCAAATCTTTGCTGAGCCTAAGGATAATCATAAATAAATAACATAGTGAAAATAAATATATTGCAATGCTCAAAACAGCAGCATCCAACCGTCTCTAATCATAAAAAAACATAATAAATGTATTGCAATGCTCAAAACAGGAGCATTCAACAGTCTCTAATCCTTGGATATGACATGTCACTGCATGCATGCATGGAGCAGCTGTAGCGCGGAGATCATCATATCATTCTGTCTTGTATTACTTAACAAAAAATGGCTTAAAAACGGCTCTTTGAGCCGGCTCGTTCACGACCGACACATCACTACTGCACACTCTCATTGGATCCAAATATGGTCATTTCCTTTGCAACCAATTGTGAAAGTACAAATGGGTCTTAAATCAAAAAACTATATCTCATTGGCTGGTGTCAATTTCTGACAATGATTTGTTCAGATATGTCACGTGGTGTGCTAAAACACTTTGTTTAGCTTCCGCTGGAAATTTAAATCTCAAAATGGCAAAAGAACAGCGAAAAAAACGTTCACAGAGAAGACGACAACAATTGTCACCTGCACAAAGCAAGGTTAGACAAAAAACAAATGCCCCTACAAATAGAATATAATTATGTGGGAAACACTGGATAATAAAAACAAATATAATTTTGTTTATTTTTTTTAATCATCTCGCGACCCAGAATTGTAGGCCATTTGTTCAAACTTTCAAGACCAGTGAGAGAAATGGTAATGTTTGACAAGATCTCTCTCTGCAATGTATTTTGCACATAGCTGTTTAATAAAAAGATGAATTTGATACAAAGGTCAACACTCATGGAACCTGATCAGAGCTTTTCACGATTTAAATGTTGAGTACAAGTTTCATAGCAAGCATACTAGCCATGTAAGCGCCAGACTGTCTTTTAGTGTGGGTTTATGGCTTGTAATTACTGTGTACAGCCTACAGCACAACAGCAGGTTGCAATTGGATCTCCATACCAGTCTGGGAAAGTGTTGGCGGACTGAACAACATGAAGTAAAACTAACTTTATAACCCTCTGTTGATGAAAGTTTTAAGTCAAGATATTTACATTAATGTTTCTTTTTTTTCCACCAGTGATTGAAACATCTTGAAAATATCACATCGGTTTGTGTGAGGGTTCGTGCGTAACAGAGTTGCCAGGTGTGTATGACAAAACCAGCTCAATGGCCAATAAAACAAGCCTAGAAAGCAGCCCAATAGCAGAACTGCAAATGTACCCCTTTCCAAAACATATTCACTGCTTTTGAAGTCCAACAACATTGCTACTGTATCTTGCCAAATTAATTGTATTATCTACAAAGTAACACCATCAATATTGAGTGGGCCTGCATTAAAAGCAGGTTACCCAAAACGGGTATTTCACCTAGGTTCCAAAATTGCTTTGTGTAATTACAATTCGCTGACACACACACTTATACTTTCCTTTCCCTCTCTTCCTGGACAACGTGAATGTTGTTCACTTGTTTGCTGTTGTTGATTTGTGCTCGTTGTTCTTGCGTCCAGGAGGAAGTTAAATAAGAGACAATGTCTCGAAAAGGTTCAAATGGGTGCTTTAATTAAGTAACGTGGTTTTGAAACAAACAGAGCGATTCAGCAACACAGCGCCATGTTGGAAGGGGGAAGACGAGAGAGCAGGCAAATCTCGTCACCTCTGTCTATATCTGATGCCTGGCTCCTCTTCTCAATGGCGGCTCTTGACGTAAAAGGGGAACCTCCCTCCTTGTGTTCTTCTGTGTCCGATATTGCGTAAATCAGAGGATTTAGACGTTGTGTGTTCATTGTATAACTCCACACGCCTTTTCTCGTCATACACTAATTTATGACTTTTTATTTAATTCATTTTAACGGAACATAATCATTGATAGCGTGAAACCGGAAGTGACGTCATTGTAACAACGGAGACGCCTTTCAATAAAGCTTTTCAAAATAAACTGTAAATTAATTTAGCCACAAGCCAATGCTAACCGGAAATGAAATGTTTTCAGAATAAAACACTTTTAAAGGTGGGGTAGGTAAGTTTGAGAAACCGGCTCGAGATACACTTTTTGTTATATTCCATGGAATGCTCTTATCATCCCGATAGCAATGAATATCTTAAGTGCTTTGACAAAAAATCCATGAAAAAATGTCATCTGTGGAAGCCGTAGTACTGTACTGTCAAAAGTACGACCAATCATTTTAGCCGGCCCGGCTAAAATAACTGGATGGCCTACCTGCCTGTCAGCCTTCCATCTGTGCACACACGTATCTCTTGCCCAATGGTCATGTGCGCGTTTGTGTGTGTTGGAGGAGGGGTTCTGTAAGGAAGTGGCAGATTTTCTCCGGTTGTGTATTTTCAAATTCTAGAGCACTCGAGCTGGTTTCTCCAAAATGATCTACCCCACCTTTAAGCTCACAGTATGTTTAAACTAAATTACGTCATTAAACATTGATTTTAATTTCTTACACTTTGCTAGCAGATTGCAGTTTGTGTGTGCATTGGTGTGTGTGTAATAGCTATGTTGGTCGACAGGGCACAACGTAGTATATTCACAAATAACCCTCTCAAGACGTGACATGGATACAATATTTTGTAAAAAAAAACATGGAGCTCAAATAATCTTCGGAATATCTATCAAACTATAGATCCTACACATCCACTGGATGTGGATTTTAAAAGTACAATATAAACTTCTCGCTAGAAATGTAATCAAAAAGCATTTTAATGGCCAAACTATCCTACAATTTAGTATTTTCCACTAAAGATTAATCGGGTGTCCGCCATGTTTGTTTTCTCACTGGGAAAGTTTGCGATCATGTGACATAGGCACTGGTCATTAGAAATGAATAGGACAAACATATTGTATCCATGTCACGTCTTGAGAGGGTTATTTATGAATATACTACGTTTTGCCCTGTCGACCAACGTCGCTATTTCACATTTTTTTGTGAGACTGGGCTCGACACATCCTTCTTCTTCTTCTTTCGTGTAACGTTAGAGGTCCAACTCGGTGTCGTGTAGCCATGCTCTGGTCCTAGGTCGAAGAGGCTGGCTTCCGAGGGTGGT